CCTGCGCGCTGCTCCTGCTGTTCCCCCTCACCGAGCAGGTAGGCGGTGGGTGGTGCCCCCCGCGGGGTAGGGGCGCTCCCGGGGGGGCGGCTGTTGTGTCCCTCCTGGACTGTCCTCCTTTGCAGGTCCTCTGGGCTAAAGCCCTGGAGGCAACAGCTGGGTGCAGGCACCGAGCCTGTGGCTGCCCCTGGTGCTGTGTGACAGCTGGTGACGTACGGGGTTTCTGCTGTCACCCCGGTAGGCCAACTAGGCCACGTCTGATCCAAATGCCCCTGGAATAAAAGGCAGGCTGTTGTCAGCAGCGGTGTCTGTACCCGCTGGCTGCTGTCAGGAGCGTGCCTGTGTCATCTCTCCCAGCATCAGATGGTTGGGAGTGGGTTTGGCTTGCACTGGGGCTGTAGGTGGCTGGTGGGGTGAGTAGTATGTGCTGGGTGCTTGGCCCCAGCCTCCAAATAGCCTGAACTAAAATGCACTGAGCAACAAAACAAGGCCTTTTATTCCAATACTTCTCTTACACTTTGCTTTGTGTATCACACTGAGGAAAAAACGTTAGCTGTCTTGGGTGTGAGGAATAGCGATTCTGTTACCATGCTGAATCATTGCATCTGGAGAGGTGTAATTTACTTCTGTATGATCAATATTTTTAGTCCAAGTGATGCTAAGGAAGTAGATGAGGAGATGGACTTTGAAATAAAGTATATTTAACAGGTTCTTCAAAGGAAGGATTATAGCTTGTCAGTAGTGATGGGTGGTCTTACACTTGTCTATATGTTATTCTGATGGGGAATGTTCGTGAAGCAAAGTAACCTAAAGGTACAAAGGCAAGCTATTGCAGAGACATGTTAAGTAGTCTCATTAAATGAACCAAAACAATTGAGAGAAGGTTTAAAAGAGCCTATCCATTATATGATTTCTCATCCCAAGCTATTTCCAGTGTACGGAACAGATGGAGAGGCTAAGAACAGTGCTTTTGGATAGGACTGAGTCATGCAGGTAGTCCATTAAGACTTGGCCTGCATCCAGTATAGACATATGATGCTTTGCTGGACCTGTGCCACAAAGATGACTTCCTGGGTAAATCTTTGTCCAGTCCTAGTATTGATTCTCCTGCACAACTCATTTGTCTAGTAGTTTGCACAATAAAAAGATATCACTGTGGTGAAATGCTTAAGACAGTTACATGTTTACAGCATGAGAACTTCAGGAAACAACAGACTGAGAAAATAAAGGACCAAGAAATCAGTTCCAAAGTGTATTTCCTGAAGCAGACAGTCAGCAACTCCTGCGGGACAATTGGTCTGATACATGCAGTTGCTAATAACAAAGGCAAACTGAAGCTTGGTGAGTATGAATGTTCTGAAGTGCTTGAATTTCCGTTCTCCTATAGCCTAAGCTATGGGAGACACCTGGGGCTTTCATGCAAGCCAAGTTAAGGCGTGCAGTACTGCTTCAGTTGGTAAGTGGGTCTTTCAGCTCTTGGGAGAGGGGTGTGTGGTCTTGCTTACTGCCTGAATCGCAGGAGGGAATGTACTTTTGGCTCCTGTCTGGTAGCTGCAGAGGTATCATCCTAGTGAGCAATGCAAGAGGAAAAGGGCACATGGTAGGACTGGCCAAAGTGTATTTGTAATTAGGAAGTATCATGTTCAGAAGTAGCTGTTGACATTGGTGTTGATGATGTCAACTGAAGAGATAAAGTTCTTCATGCCACTTACGTCTAATGTAAACAGACTTGCTCAGGGTAGCCTGTAAATCAGACTAAAACATGTTTTCGTTTTGCTGGGAAAGTAGTATAGGATGATAAGGGTCTGTAAGTAGACTTTTCCTGCAGAGGTAATAGTTTTGATGGTTCTTTTCCTATAGAAAAGGATATAAAACTGGCAGCTGGTGGCTGGAAACTCCTAGGAAACAGGATTGCAAGTTCTTGTTAAAAAAGGGTTGTCACTGAGTCCAGGAAATACTTTATTGTTCAAAGACTAGAGATCTGCAAAATACAACTTCTCATTATTCCAAGAGAACTTGAACCCTTTGGGTGATGTGGGATTCCTTCTTAAATAAAGGAAAATACGTATGGAAGGCTAAATGGGAGTAGCTTTGCTTTACTCTCCTTGAGAGGATTTTCTGAAATAGCACACTCTTGATGAGTTGAAATGAATGCTGCATCTAAGACCAGAACTAAATGCATCTTAGTACTGCACTACTAATTTATGTTCTGGAAAACCAAAGTAAGCCTAGCATGACAAGTGCTGTGTTCATTTCAAGGCAGGGATACAACTTAATTTCATCTACCCATATTCTGTTAGTTGATACTTAACTGGCACCAGTTCTCACAGCTGGCACCTCTCTTGAATTTCTTTAAAATAGGACTGAACACCTCTGCCAAATCTGCAAGGGGGAGAATCGGCAAAGCTAAATCCCATTTGAAAGTGAGTTCTAAGACAAGCATCCAGAGTACCCTGAAGCACTTGAATTCTGGCTGTTTGTGTAGATTGTTAACAGCTTCTGAATAACTAGCTAGCTTCAAGTGGCAGTTAGAATATGCTTATGCTGGAGATGGTTCCAAGCTGAATGCAATGACTCCTAGTTAGTGCAACAAGCATTGATTACTCTGGGCTGCATCTGAACTGTAACTGATGCTCTACCTATACTGAATAAAATCTTTGATCTTGTGCAGATGAGGGGTCTGCCCTGAAGAAGTTTCTTGATGAAACAGCTGATCTGTCTCCTGAAGAGAGAGCTAAGCATTTTGCAAATAATAAGGTATATGAACTACGCAAACTGCTGACAGCTATTGGCACTTAAGGATGTAGTAACTTGTATCTTGCTTTCTCTTAAGGCTATACAAGAAGTACACAATTCGGTTGCACAAGAAGGACAATGTCGGGTAAGATACATGTAAAATCTTGGGAGAAGGGGTTGATGAAGGTGGTAGAACAAAACAATTTTTTTTGTCTGGCAGGTAGCTGTTACAGCTCATGAGGAAAGAGAAATGAGTGACTCATGGGTGAATGCTTGTGTAGGGTTTCTTCCTCAAACCTGGATTGAAAATTTGGGTTCAGACCCAGTCTGAAAATGCGACTGTACATTAGGATTTTTGGCGCTTGACCTTGTAGAGGTCTCGCAGAGACCTCTTCAGCTGAACTTTGTAGTCCTTTGCTGTTGCTTTGTTGTTGAGACCTCCTCTGTCCTGTAGTCACAAGTGTAGGGTTCACAGTACTAGGCTTTTTTCAATCTAACAAATGTATCTAATGGTCTCTCCTAAGGTTGAGGACAACAGTGTGAACTTCCACTTCATTCTGTTTGTCAATGTGGATGGACATCTGTATGAATTGGGTAAGGTCCTGAGAACTCTGGACTTGGACTGGGCCTACTTTACACTGTACAGCAGCACTGGGGGCTCAGGCTAGATACTTGGAGCTAGTTAAGCTGTTTACTGAGGCTCTCAAAGCCAATACATAGTTTGTACCTTCACTTGAAAATTTTAACTGAAGATGGGTTGCACTGAAGGCCTAGGCCCTCTTGTAAAGCATGTCATCTCCTGTAGAGCTGGGAATACTTAGTCTCCTCCTTACTCAAGCTATGTATCGACAATTATTCTGACCTCCCAAGTATCATGTGTGTACTTGTTTCCTGGGTCCACTATGCTCAGTTCTGCTAATTCAGAAGTAATACCAAGTACACTGAGTGACTGGACTTTTCTTTCACAGATGGGCGTATGCCATTTCCTGTAAACCATGGCACAAGCTCAGATGACTTGCTACTGAAGGTAAGACTTCTCCCTAGCTGCTTTTTTCCCTGAAAATGGCTTATAAAAGGGTGAGAGGCATGCATTCAGTGTATAGTGGCTGTACCTACTTGCTGTACAAGGTGGTCCTTCTTATACCACGGTAACAAGGGAGTGTTGTGCCACAGAGCTAGATATCTGTTACGCGTATTAGCTGGTCCTACGAGACCTTGTAACTTAGTTGGTGGGACCCAGAGAGGAGCTGCAAAGACTTGGTCTCTAACAGCAAGTGTATTCTGATAGTCTAAACAGCATTTTTCTTATCTTCCAAGGATTCTGCTAAGATCTGCAGACAATTTACAGAACGTGAAAAAGGAGAAGTTCGTTTTTCTGCTGTGGCTTTCTGCAAGTCTGCCTGAGACTCTGAAGAGATGCAAGGAAAGCAGTCTAATAGCACACCAGTAAATGCAGTCTAAACTCCAGCGCTTCAGTACTTGTTAAACACAGCTGTTCTGGTAACTTAAATTGTTTCCACCTTTTGCTATACACAGGAGCAACATCAGCGGAGCTTGTGCTAAAGGATGAGCTCAAGTTTTAATGTGAACAGTTTGGACATATCAGATGTCTTTAGACTTTTTTCACATGTTAAGTAGAAAATGCTTAACAGGGCTTGTTTAATCTGTGTCATGTTAATTGAGCTGTTGGTTGATATTTCCTTGTCCTTAATGAGAATAAAATGTTCTGCTGGAAGACTAAATGGACTAAAGTGATCACTAACTTTCTCTAAAAGGAGTTACATGTGGCATCCTCTATAGACCCTGTTTTCAAAGGACCCTTGAAGCTCTCCTCTGAGCAAAAAGTTAATGTCAGCCTTGGGTGAGCAAACAATTGCTTTTTCTAGTCTCCTGAAGGCCTCCGAGGATGGAGAGAATGCACCGTTGTCTGCATGGCATGTTCCAGTGCTGCACTACCCTTCTGGTAAAGCTTTTCCTAATGTCCAGTCTGAAACTCTTAAGCAGCAATTTGCCACCCTGAATACATTTAGTTACAGGGTTAAGGTGTGATAAAGACTGAAATGTAAACTTGAAGCTGTCTGCTCTTAAACAGGGGCTATATGTATTAATGACACAAGCAAGAGAATACCCACTGAATTGGTTGGTGGTGCATTTCCTTATAGGAGACAGTATTAGAACAGGTTTTTTCCCTACCTGTGGTTAAAAGCAGTCTGCTGGCTAATGCTGAACACAATCCTTGGCTAGCTGGTGTGTGCTTATTAACTTCTGATTGTGCTAGGAAGGCCTTGAAAGAGGCTATACTACCTGTCCCTTCCAAAATGACCTAAAAATGGAGAAACCCACAGTACATGAATTTTTAATAGCAGGATGAAATTTTGGGTTCAAGGGGGAGAAAGATACTTGATAATATTACATATTCCTTGGCCTCAACTCTGACCTTCTGTGGAAACTATTCTTACCTGAGTTTAGCTGCTGTTTATCTGCAGCTCCTTGCTGATACCTCAGGTAGCTGTAAGAAGGGATAAAACACCCTTCAACTCGGGCCTTTCTTCTAATGCATTGTGTCCCAGCCTGTGCCTGTCAGCCATGTTGTATGATGCTGCGTAACTCAAGTTCTTAGGTGGTCGCTGGTGCTCTCTGCATGCTCCCAACTGTTCCTGGCTTCTAGGCTTTTTTGAAGGGTAATTGAAATACAAGCTTTGATTAAAGCCATGTGTGGTCTGAAGGTGTTTGGTGTTGGGCCTTGTTACTGCTCATATAATTACCTGATAGCTGAAGCTAGCAGGGGATTGTGACATGTTTTAATTCAAATTCTGAGGATTAGCTAAAGCTCAGAGTACTTCACTTCCGAACATCAGTCTCTTTCAGTTTCTGTTAGCAGGGAGGTGAAAGCTATCTGCCGAGAAAAGGTCTCTGTCGCTTGCTGTTCTCAACAGCATCTTATTCTGCCTGTTAGTGGATGTTGTCGCAGGGTGGAGGGAGGCCTCCTGGGGCATCTCCGCTGCAGCCTCCTGCTCCAGCGCAGGCTCAGAGCCGTGCCTGCGGCTCAGGCTGCTTAGCAACAGAGCCTGCAAGAGAAGAGGAAATGCATGTGGCATGAGCACGGGAGGATGATGGAAGAAGCAATAAAAATCAGATACAGTAGGAGGAGGGAGCAGGAGAGAGAGCAGAGCCCAGCCATACCTGAGGGAGCATGCTTTAATTCTGCAGGGGTCCCTTTTCATGCCTTTAAGGCCTCTGCTGAGGGTACCTGCTGTAACTGTGCCTGTATACAGTTACACAGGCAGGCAGTCAATGCTGAAGCAACCTGAAAGTGTCTTTGAGATACTACTGTATTTTTTTTTATAGTGATTGCAGCAGCCAGATGTTAACGGTTTTGGTTGTTTTCTTTTTTTTAATCTAGCAATATGTCTCCAGTGCTACTGAAGTTATTTTAGTGTTTCATAAACTTTTTTTCCACTCTTGCTCAAGCTTCTGGGTTAAGAATCTAGCGAAAGGCAACATTTGAATAATTTTGGCCTCATAGAAAAACAGGCAAAGGGTTGTGCCAGACCTTTCTTATTTCTCACCGTCTGGTCCCAGGTACAGCTTCAAAGGATGGAAATAAAGAGAGCAACTAAGGAATGAATGTTATCCATCCACTCCTGTATAACATCACTAGCAAGGCTGTTTTCCCCTACTAAGGTTACCACGGGGGCCTGGCAAACAGCTGGGCTTTCCTCTAAAACAGCCTGGGTAGAAAGAGGAAGATGAGTTGCTGGGGATGGTGAAGATCTCAGGAGTTGGGATAGAGTCACTCTGGAGGAGGGAGGTTTCAAACAATGGGTGGGGATCTGTAAGCTGAATAGATGGAAGCTTTTGCAATATTAGCAGTGCAGCTGTTCCAGATGTGCTTACTGCATTCAGAAGAAAAATCATGATGCATGGGAAGTGTGTATGTGCCAAGACAAAACCATATAGAATAAGCCATAAATAGAAAAAATGGAAGATGTTTTAAAGTCATATCAGGTGTGTATAATCTCAAATTATTTTCCGGCTAGTTTTACCTACTTGCAAGCTTTTGAATTTTAATCTTTGCCCATTGTTTCACACTTCAGCAGAAGTGTGTGGACCAAGAGGTGTAAATGTCTGTAGGCTTTCTTTGAGTGCTATGAATCAAAACACATTGTTTTCGTGAGAAGATGCTCTCTGATAACTTAATATTTTCTGTTGGTCACATCCTACCTGAAGTGAAGCTCATTTTGTTTCTTGTCTCTGCTTGTTTTCTCCTCTTTGTATTTTTGTTTTAAATCTGTAGTTCCATGTGGAACTGTTACCATTCCTTGATTAAATTTGCTCTTTTGACCCTCTCCATTTCTTATCTAAAACCCTACGTGTTTTTCCTGAATTTACCCCTGAATTTTCACTGTGACAATTACTGAGAAGGGCAGGAGCTTGTGAAGCCTGTTTTGTGTTTTATGCCCGCTCTGAGAAAAACCTGTGACTGGCTGTTGCCACTGCTGCTCTTCCAGATACGCGAGGAGTCTATTGAGCAAATTATTTAATTTGAATTAACAGGTTCCTGCCATTTTTGTGCAGCCTTCCAGAGGTGGACTTTTAACACTTAATATATAGAACTCTCCTTGGAAATATTTGAGAAATATTTAAGAATCTCAGGTAGGATTTCGGGCTTATCTGTTTAGACCTGCACATTGCTAATTTAGAATCGTATCCAGGGTTGACTGCACAATCTATCATTTTTTTTAAGAGTTTTCTTCTCCGCTATGTTGAAAGCTGTAGTTAATCTGTTCAGTAGGTGGCAGCATTGGGAAACTTTCAGCAACAAATCTGATTTAGGGGCCACCAATGGCAAAACAGATCTAGGCGCAATGTTATTCAACTACGTATGTAATGTTAAGTCCACAGGTAGTCCTACCGCTTTCAGTGGGACCACTCACGTGCTTAAGCGCACTTCTGATTTCAGAGCCAAATATCCAATCCTTAATTTAGTCAAGAGTTAACAGGTGGGTTGTAACGTCCAAAGCCTCTTATGCATTTCAATAGCCTTTGGCTTAGAGTCCATAGCTTGCTTACGGCTGATACGGCACCACACCACCTCTTTGTCCAGTATATACCGCTGTACAATATATGCACTATTTCCATGCTAAATAGGATTCTTTTTTGGGGGAGTAAAGAAAGAAAGAGTGGGAGTAACTCCAGCAGCATCCAGCTTTTGATGCACAGACCAGTTTATCAATCTATAAATATTTAAGATGGAGAAGTAGTTACCTGAAAAAGGGAACCAGACATACTAGAATCCTCTGCCTTTGACGCAAAGGCACCAGGGAGCTCTAGGGGCCAGTCCCCATCAGCCTGTGGCGCTGGGCGTAGGGAGAAAACAAGAAACTGGCAATAAACCTCATAGTGACAAGATCCCTCTCCTGGTGCTGCTGACAGCCAAGAAGAGGCTGATGGCAGGACTGCAGCTCAGTGAGACTGTGGGCCAAATGGGAGCAAACAAGAACTGGGAAAAATGCAGCCAGAAGCTGAGTAACAGCATTAAAATTCCTTTGTGACCAAAGGAGTTAAAATATCATTTGTGTTTTGTAATTTTTAAATTCTTGCACAGGGTGATAACTAAGTTACAGGGGAGTGGTGGACATTCCAAATGCTTCAAACCCAAGGGACCTCAATAGATGAGAGGATGGGGCTAGAAGGAACCTCACAGAGTTCAACACGGTGCAGAGCTTGGCACCTGGCTGGAGCTACCGCATGTCTCTGCACAGGCTGGGAGGCGACGGGCAGAGTTGCAGCCCTGCTTGACAGGCCCTGGGGGTTACGGCAGGTGCCAAATTGAATATAAGCCCATGTGTTGTGTGCTCTCCTTGTGAGTAAGGCAAATTGCATACTATGTTGGGAGTTGTATTGGGAGGAGTGAGGCCAGCAGATGGAGGAAAGTTATTATCCATCTCTACTTGGCACTAGTGAGGCTGCACCTGGAATAGCGTGTTCAGTTCTGTGTGTGTGTGTTTCCTCCCCCCCCCAGTCCAGGATGGATGTGGAGGAATCCAGGGAGGGTCCAGCAGGAGGCTACTGAGGCAGCCAGAGGCATGGAGCATATGGCCTACAAGGAGAGGTTGGTGGAGTTGGGTGTGTATAGTCTGGCATGGAGGAGACTAAGGGAGGATCTAATTGTAGCCTACAACTACTTCAAGGGCAGTTGCAAAGATGACAAAGCCAATTTTCTTCTTGGTAGTAGGAGATGGTATATCAAAGGGCAGTAACCACAAATTGCAGCTTGGAAGGTTCAATTTGGGACATCCGGAAATCAGAAGAGTGCTTCACTGGGAAGGTAGTACAGTACTGGAACAAGTCATCAGAGAAACGGGGGCATCTCCATCCTTGGAAGTTTGCAAGGGACCAGGATTTAATAACCAGCTTTTGTTAAACTGCCCCAGGTTACCTGTTACAGTATGAAAAATTGGGACAGCGATCAGTGTTGCTCCAGCCTTGGGAACAGAGTGCTGTGCTCCTTGACGAGGAGCTAATCGTGAGTCTCCTCCCCGTGCCAGGCGTGGGGGAGCCATTCCTCGCAGGAAGAGCTGGAGGCTGATGCTGCTGGCTGATGCTTTTCTGCTCTGGATGGGGTGGAAGGACACAAATGGCTGCAGGAACAGCAGCTGACGTATCTAGGAGGAGGTGCAGGTTTTGTCACTGATGGGAGGGTCGTCTCTTCACAAAGAAAGCAGAGGAAAGTTGGGGA